TATATATTTATTATAATGAGAGTTTTATTGAGTATTCGGTATTATACTAACTTTTTTTGTTCTTGTTTTTGTAAATGTGTGCAGTAAATTTTAAAGATTTTCCATGATTTGGTGTTTTGATACCTTTTTGTATGCATTCTGTACACAATGGATATTGGGTAGCTGGAATTGGAATAACAATATCAGTATCTCCACACTTATAGCATAATAGTAAAAATATTTGTGCAGAATAATATGCCTTTTCCATTGGAGAATTACAAGTTAGCCTATCATTTACAAACACTTTTTCAAATAACTGTTTGATTGTTGGTTTATCTGCATCCAATAATCCAAAATTTGACAAGCTTTTAGTTTCAGAATCATAATCACTTTTTTCACTATCCACTAATTTATCGCTTTCATTATTATTCACAGATTCATTAAAGTCATCATCACTTTCATTACTATTCACAAATATATTAAAATCATCATCACTCTCATTACTATTTACTAATTCATCATTATCATTGTCACTCTCATTACTATTTACTAATTCATCATTATCATTATCGTCACTCTCATTGCTATTTACTAATTCATTATTATCGTAATTATCACTCTCATTACTATCTATTAATTCACTATTAATATCAGTACTTTTATAGAATAGATTTTTCCAAATTTCTGAATCTGAATATTGCAAATCATCCATTTTATTTTGGCTTAATAACAAAGTCTCATTAGTTGAATTATCTTTACTACTTGATTCAATTTCATTGCTAACACGTCTTTTATTTTTTGATCCTAATCTAGCAACTACTAATTCTGAATTACTTTTTATTTCTAAATTATCTTCTGGTTTACTAATTGATTGTTGGTTTTGAACACCGAATAAGTTATCTGCTTTAGAAAATGATGAACCACAAGAATAATCAATAGTATCTAAATATGCAATTAATAACTTCTTTTCTTGCTTATTTAATTTTTTGTTTGGAGTAAAATAATCGCCAATGTTCACATTCTGAGCACATAACTGTTACCCCAATATTTTTTGCACTTTGTGCTGTACTATTAAATGGCATACTATTCTTTTTTAATTTTATTTGTGAATTTTTGTTATTTTTATTATTTGCAAGCGAAGAACGATAAATTTCAGTAGTATTTTTGCTATATACTTCATTTAAAGAAGTATAATGGTCATTATTTCCAGGAATTGGATTAGGAAAATGATAAATACGATTAAAAACATCTTGCAGAAGTCTTATGGGTTTGCAAATTTGACATTCTTTTTTTCCACATTTTTTAATTGAAAAAAAATAGTGTCTTGATCGACAACAATGTTCAAAAAATGCTTTAAATTCGGTCTAATAAATAAAGTAAATATTAAATAAATAAAATTAATTAGAGTTTTGTAATTTAACACATGCATATTATAACACATCTATTTGATCAACCAATTAGATTATAAGATCAGATATAATGTGAAAGCAAAAGAAAAATATCA